ATATGCTCTTGCTGCCATAAAGATGGAGGCTCGTTCTGTTGATCACCTTTGGAAGCTGCTTGAGCTAATGTGGTCCATGTTCTTCCAGGAGCGCTGCTCTGTTTCATACTGCTTGATACTCTGCTGACGAGCTTGCTTATTGCTGCTAGCATAGTAGTTATGAGAGTCTCAGGGGGTTCTCATGCTGCCTGATTTCTGGTGTTTGTGGTGAACGGAAGCCTTGACTCCCAGAAATATTTGAGAAGTATACTTAATGTATTTATCATTCATGAAAATCATTAAATTCTGTTCCTGCGTGGAGGCTTTTTTGTTGTTATATCAATAGAGCTTCTAAAAGCATCATAATTGTAGTCTGTGTAACTATAGTCAGGACAGTATAGTGTAGGAAACATTCTGATAAAGAATTCATATACTGCTCAATTGTATCTGGAGACTTCTTTGATGCTTGGATCTCTGGTGTGCAGAATAAAGGCAGTGTGAAGTGGTGGAAAAGATGTTTAGTTTTTGTTTTCCATGGTTTCCTGAGAGGAGACCAGCACTAACAGTCTGTATAACAGCTGTGCAGAATCCCAGACATCAGTTAAGGGATGAAGGTGAGATACCACTCTAAAAATAACTTGGAAGCTACTAAGGAGAAAGGCTTGCCATTGCTATAGCAGAACTCTAAAGGCGGCCTCAGATTTTCTTGAACTAAAGCACAAAGAGGAGGAAAGGAAGATCTTGGGAAAGAAGCCTGAAATCTTTCTTTAAACACTCTTGATTACCATGCTTGCTCCCTCGCCATTCAGTAGTTAATGTTGTCTTCTCTTAATGAATTATAAAGTGAAGCATTATTCAAGAGTTGTTAAGACAATTGTTTAAGGCCTTATTTAAACAGCTACCTATTGTATCAAACAAATTGCATTCTAATTTGGGGGTAGATTTATTTTTACAAATTAATTGATGAAAATATGGTTTTGCCTCAGGTGCAGTATGGCGCTTACGTGAACATAGGTGGTCTTGGCTCTGTTATCAAGCTCATGTTTGCTGGCATTTTATTTCTTCTTCTTGTGAAGTTTAGCTTTGGAAGAAACCTTCTGACAAAAGTAAGTGTTCAAAACACAAAATAATTAAGTGTTTGGAGATTTCCCAGACACGCCCCCCCCTGTTTACTGGGGTGGTTTTGTTGTTGTTGTTGTTTTGTCTTTTTTGTGTTTTTTTTTCCTCCTCTCTTTTTATATAGTACCCAGAATTTTTCTCTGCTGGACGCTTCACAAAGAAAGGACCAACCCAGAAACAGGTAACTGGCTGTTTTCCATCACAGTTATTGAATAAATTTGTTATAGTAATGGTGGAATAGTAATCTAGAGTCAACTGCTTAGTCTCAGCAAAATAATTTCTAAATGCACATTGTATGTGCCTGTTCATAGCTTTGAATATTTAAATAATCGTGCCTTCTGCTATTAGACATCAAAGTATGTGGAACTCGTGAGGAAAAAATGGACCATGTTGCTGGATCTGACATAGTTACACGGATGGCTCACAGCACTGGCAGAGGGCGACTGTGTAGCAAAAACCCAGGACTGAAAGCACAAAGAGAATAAATGGACTTTAGAATAATAACAGTTCTCACAAAGTGGAAATGATTAAAAATTTAGATGAGATCATACCTTTTCAGCAGTAACTCAGAATAACTACTCTCATGTTTTGATGGATCATAGTATGTGGCATAATAGATACCTACATTTACTACTTGTGCTTGCCTGATGTGAGTTACTGTTTTGGTGACTGCTTGTCTTGTCCACTACAGTTGGATGGAACCTCTTTCACAATGACTTTTTTTGGTGAGGGTTACAGTGAGGGGCAAGATCTGCAGAATGGCAAACCAAATGTAAAGATCTGCACCGAAGTGAAGGGGCCAGGTATGTACGTTAGGAGCAGGTAACTGCTTTTGCCTCACACTCCCTACTCTGAAATAGGTTTATGGTTCCACTGCTGTTCCTTTCACCCTCAAGGAGCTCTTCCCACAGAGACAAAGCCAACAGCCTTTACAGAGTATTGCCTTGGATACTAGCATTTGTTGTGACCTGTTTTTTTGAAACAGCCAGTTCATTTGTGTTCTTGTCCATCCTCTTTCCTTCTGACTGTCCCAGAGACAATTTTCATTTTGAAGTTGAGTTAAACGGAGCGTGCTTTAAGGGTAGCTTTCAGTTGTTCCAGCCTGGACTTACTACTTGTTTATTTCCAGTCCTCTGTGAGTGAACTTAAACAGATCTGGCATGGTGTCATTTCTAGCTACAACATACTTGTGTTTGGATCATTCCTTGAGGAGAGATGACACCTGAAGTAAAGTTTGGAGACAGCAAGAATATATATTCAGAAAGGAGTTGGTGAAGCATAGCTTCTTTAAATAACTAGAGAGGCAGCTGAATGCAATAGCCTCACTGCAAAAGTCTGAATTTAAGCACAGGGTGGGGAAGGCTCTTCTGTAATAGAGAGCCCGCTGTCACCGTAAGGTTATTGTTGTTCTGTGGTTATTGTATTTGAAGCAGTATTTGTCCAGATTAGATCTCAAGGACTTCACCAGCTACTGGGGATGATTAACAGGTAAAAAAAGCAGTTCTCAAATGGGGAAGGCTGTTGCATTGCCAAAGAGATTATTCTTCAGCATGCTGTAGGTAAGGGCAAGATTATGTTCTGCAGTTCAACACACTGTACATCATTCGTTTGATTGTTTTTTTTTTTGTCAGAGCCTGGCTATGTTGCTACACCAATTGCAATGGTTCAAGCAGCTGTCTCTCTTCTGGAAGATGCAGCTTGTCTGCCTAAACAGTAAGTACTTTCCCATGTGGAACAGCTTGACCTCCCTTCAAGCTACTGTGTGCAAGTTTCTCTTTGAAAATACAGCTCTTGTAACCTTGTGGATCTCTGTGTTACTCAAATGGCTGTGCAAGGGACATCCTTCACCACAAGCTGACAAAGCCACTTGTTCTCCATCTGCCTTTCAATTTGAAAGGATGTAGTCAGTAATGCTTTTGCAACATCTATTGCATCAGTGTCTATATTTTCAGTTAATGGAATGGTTTCTATTGAGTTCACTGGATGCTGAAATGAACCTATGAATATAACCAGCTTGCCAGATTCCTCATCTGCTCTCCTGTGGGACAGAGTGGCTTTTTCTTCCTTGGGCAGGGAAATGCATCTTTGACTTCAAAAAAAGATGTCACTCAATCACTGTAGCACTGATGCTTTTCTCTTTTGATTTTCATTAACAGAGGTGGTGTCTATTCTCCAGGAGCTGCCTTCTCCAAAACAAAACTGATTGATCGCCTGAGCAAATGTGGTGTTGAGTTCTCTGTTATTAGCAAGCCTGAAGTCTGAAGTCAAATGTAACTGTATGAACTAACACCTTTCCTGGGTCTAATTCCAATAAAACTCCTTTGGCTGTAAAAGCCTAATCATAAAATAGTTTCACTGTGCTATCGTTTACAGCAGAAACAGAAGAAAAATTGAGTTAAAAATTACAATACTGTTTGCTATAGTGAGATACCCATAAAGGATATTGAGTTATAACTCACAAGCATATTAAATCGGTGACTTACTGGGTACTACTTCTGAGGTTTGTTTAATCTATTTCATCTAATTTTGAAGTTAACTGCTTAGTGGAACCACTATAGCATCTGCTTCACAATTAACCACAGCCTTCTTGCTTTGCCCCATTCCATAACTGCTAAAAGCAGGCAGGCCCTGGATAACAAGTGCCTTAGCAGGTGAAACCAGTGCGGTTTGGGATACATGCTATTACTTTGTGGTGTTCTCACTCTCAAAGCCATAGTGCCCATAGCAAAATAGAAGAGTAGTTGTTGTTTCTCAGAGTTTAAGGAATATTTTTGTCCTTTTTTTTTTTTTCCCTGGGCTATAATAAAGATCAGCTGACTCTGTACTGTTGCCTTAAGGTATGTTGACTTCCATCCTTACTCACTTGCCTGGAGTGAGCTGTGCTAGAAAAGGTGAGAGGAGAAAGCACCAAGAGTAGGGTTTGGCAATATGGCCACAGCCAGCAGCACAGTGGTTCCTCTCCCCATGGGGCCTGGGCATCTGAGTGGCCCTGCGAGCTGGTGGTGTTCAGAGCCTTGGGCTTCACTGGCCAGTTTGTGGTGGTGTGGGCGGTGGGGAGAGGCTGTGGGCAGCGCTGGAGGGGGTGGCCGAGAGGCTGGGTACTGGCCATGGCTGAGGGCCCTGTGGTGCAGCGCTCTTGTCTGGGGACGGCACTGGCCGGTGGGTGTCAAGTCTGTGCCAGCATGTTGGCAGCTTGGCCCAGGGAGAGGGGAGATGCACTCATGGGCGGGCGGTGTTGGTGAGGGCAGTCTGCAGTGCACCGCGAAGGTGAAGCTTGGGGCAGAGGCTGGTGTGCTGCTGTACAAGGTGGGTGATGCAGCTCATGAAGGGTGCTAAACAGCGGTCCTGGGCAGGGGAAATGGTGCCTGGACACCACACCTCTTTGAAAAGGTGACTGTGAGACCAACTGCTGGTGGCATGCATCGTAGGCGGAGTTGATGTTCTCATTCCCTTGTTCCATTAACCTCTCACTCTGTGCATAAATATCATGGGCACCAGCTTCAAACCATCCACTTAAAAACCTTGCTGTGGGTCTTCTCTAATGTTGAGCTCACCAGGCTTCCTGGTTTTAGGTAGTAAGTCTATTGGCTGAGGAGAGAGAGTTAGTCAAAATTTGTTACTAAAATAAGCAAAAAGATTGTTACACTTAGTAAAGATAGAACAAAAATTAAGACAGACTAGAGCCGAGCACAGCATAGTTATTCTGGCTTTACCATGTTCCCAGAGAGTTCTACTTTCCAGGTAAATTTAATCTACAATGAGAGCTCACATCTATAGACTTAAGATGTTTGCAAAATTCAGAATAAAGGCATTGTTTCCCTCTGCTTGTTATCATTATTAGATGAGTTTAGACAACCTTATTCCAGGAACTGCTAAAACTAATGATGTTTGTTTCCCTGTGTATCCATTTTTTTCCTACCTCCCCTGCCCATTGCATCAAATTTGTCTGAAATCGGCCACATTGGCTCAAAACTAATGAAGAGGAAGGTACAGGGGGATGTAGTTCACGAACAAGTGGCAAATTATATAAACTTTAGAGGGAAAGGTAAAAATTCAATCCTGAGACATACCACCTTCAAAATTCCCTCCCAACTCAAGAGATTACCCATTTTCACTTAGTAATGAGTCCCGTGTCTGCCAATATAAGAGACAGCCCACAAGAGGAGCATAGGAGGGGGGAAAAAAAAAAAAAGTAAATGAAAATGCTAACTTTCTTCTTGTCCCTTTTTTTTTTTTTTTTTCAAAAAGGAGCAGAATACAGAAAGAAGAAAAGTACAAGAGATGGAACGGCTTGGTCAGGGGTAATGGCAGAGCAGCCAGGTAGCTCAAGCAGTAAAGACATGCTGTTAGGTCCACATAGCACTCCCATGCTTCAGCCAATGTGCCCAGAAGGGTCATGTTAAGAGAGCATAAAGGATGATTTTCAAATTGCACTAAACAAACAAACCAAAAATCTACATAGAAAAACTAAGATTTGTTAATACTGAAACAAAGCAAGTTCATTACCTGTTTGTTCTAAATTTCCAGTATACTGGAAATAATCTGTAAAGACAAGTAGTAACGAAAGGGTAAAGTGTGTTTGAAAAAACCCCCTCACAAAGTTAATGGATCATCATCCCGCTGTAAAAATAACACAGGGTACAGGGATCAAAACTTCCCTTCGTCACAAACCATTACATAAGCTTAATTCATGCAGTTAGCTGTCAGATCCACACTGTTCCATCACAACTTTCTTCCCCAGTGTTTCTTCTACCCTCATGTGCATAACTTTTACTGCTGTCTAGGTAGACTCCCTCATAAGCTATGTTTCAATTAGTCATTTTAGTTAAATATTAAGTTATATTAAGCACCTAGGCAGCATTGTAGGAAATTCAAGAAGTTAACAAATGTTAATATTTGATAGCTGGGCATGGTGGTTCAACCAGTATTTATTTTCAAGGCTATTTTAAAATAAGACAAAGCCTGTATTTCCGATTGCTGCAGGGACAGCTGTGGCCATATATATTACCTGCCACAGGGTACATGTAACATGACAGCATTTGCTACATTATGGGGATCAGATCATGTGAGGGTCCCAGTGCCAGCAACGGGTGGGAGCACAGGTCAGGGGGTGAGTTAACCATCAGCAACCAAAGTCAGGTCACAGGTGACAGAGGCCCATGTGTCAGGAAGCAGGGCAGTGAGGGTCTCAGTGCCAGCAGCTGGGCTGGGGACCACAGGCCTGGGGTGTGTGTGTCCAAGGTGCTGGCAAGGGGAGGGAGCAGGTGGGTGTATTTTCCCCAGCCATAAGTGCACGCGTGCATTGCTAGCAGACTTCAGGGCAAGGAGGAGGAAAACCCGTCTTGTCTCAGCTGGAGGCAAGCAAGGGAGCCCAGGGTGGGGGCGGAGACCACAGCTGGGCTTGCAGCTGTGCTGATCTGCTGAGGCTCTGTAAGCGCGGGTGTGCGTGGCAACCAACAGTGACAGCATGCCTCTGGTGTCACACGTGAGCTTCAGTTGCAACAAGCCGGAGGAGGCTTCCGGGGAGCTGCCATCGCGCCAGACGGCGGCTGTTAACGGCAGGGGCCGGTCTCTGGCTGCCTGCGCAGGCAGCCGTCGTGTTGTCGTGCGCATGCGTAGTGCATGCTCAGCGTCAGTACTGGCTGAGCCTGCAGCCGGGAAAGCAGCAGCCACGTCCGCAGGTCTGGGACAGAGACACCCCACGGCTGGGGGGCGTCAGGCTGGGCGCCTGCAGCCCGGAAGGTAGAAGCCCTGGATGAGCAGATTTGTAACGTCCCTTTGCTACGTGGCAGGCACTAGTATCAAACGCTAAGCTTCACAATAATAAACCCACTAACTTCAAAAAGAAACCTGTTTTCTAACAGGTTAAAAGTAAAAATAAAGATCCAGGACATGTCTTTTTTTTTTTTTTTTTCCTCTGCCCAAGAACTACCTATAATAGGAGTAACTCGACTTCAGCTAGGGTTTTGCGTTTCCACACAGACAGGGCAAGCAAGATGGAGAGGAACGAGTTTTCACTGTTGTGTTTATTGCAGGGGCACACAGTGGATAATGTCCAACAGAAACATTCACAAATGGCATTCC